CCACCAACAGTGTAAGGGAGTTCCCCTTTCTCCACACCCTCTCCAACACACGTTGTTTCCTGTCTTCTTAATTTTGGGTATTCTAACTGGTGTAAGGTAGTATGTCAATGTGGTTTTAATTTGAATCTCCCTGGTGGCTAGTGATGATGAACATTTTTTCATGTGTCTGTTAGCCATTAGGGTCTCTTCATTGGAGAAGTGTCTGTTCATGTCTTCTGCCCATTTTTTTACATGATTATCTGTTTTCTGTGTGTTGAGTTTGAAAAGTTCCTTATAGATCCTGGGTATCAGCCTTTAGTCTGTATTGTTGTTTGCAAATATCTTCTCCCATTGTGTGGGTTGCCTCTTTGTTTTGTTGACTGTTTCCTTTGCTGTGCAGAAGCTTTGGATCTTTATGAAGTCCCAAAATGTATTTTTGCTTTTGTTTCCTTTGCCTTTGGAGACATATCTTGAAAGAAGTTGCTGTGGCTGATATTGAAGAGGTTACTGCCTATGTTCTCCTCTAGGATTTTGATGGGTTCCTGCCTCAGATAGATGTCTTTTATCCATTTTGAGTTTAACATTGTGTATGGTGTAAGAGAATGGTCAAGTTTCATTCTTCTACATATACCTATCCAATATTCCAGCACCATTTATTGAAGAGACTGTCTTTTTCCACTGGCTATTTTTTCCTGCTTTGTCGAAGATTATTTGACCATAGAGTTGAGGGTCCATATCTGGGCCTTTACTGTCTTCCACTGGTCTATGTGTCTGGTTCTTTTTTTTTTTTAATTTTTTTCTTTTTATTGTAAAAAAAATTTTTTTAACATGTTATGTATTTATTTGACAGACAGAGATCACAAGTAGGCAGTGAGGCAGTAAGAGAGAAGGGTGAAAGCAGGCTCTCCGCTGAGCAGAGAGCCCGATGTGGGGCTGGATCCCAGCAACCTGGGACCATGAGCTGAGCCAAAGGCAGAGGTTTCAACCCACTGAGCCACCCAGGCGCCCCTATGTGTCTGTTTTTATGCCAGTACCATGCTGTCTTGGTGATCACAGCTTTGTAGTGAAGTTTGAAATCAGGCAACGTGATGGCCTCAGTTATTTTTTTCTTTTTCAACATTTCTTTAGCAATAAGGGGTCTCTTCTGATTCCATACAAATTTTAGGATTATTTGCCCCAGCTTTTTGAAAACTGCCAGTGGAATTTTGATCAGAATGGCATTGAAAGTGTAGTTTGCTCTAGGCAGTATAGACATTTTAACAATGTTTATTCTTCTGATCCATGAGCGTGGAATGATCTTTCATCTTTTTATGTCTTCTTCGATCTCTTTCATGAGTGTCCTGTAGTTCCATGAGTACAGATCTTTACCTCTTTGGTTAGGATTATTCTCAGGTATTGTATGGGCTTGGTGCTATAGTAAATGGAATTGATTCTCTAAATTCGCTTTCTGTACTTCCATTGTTAGTGTATAAGAAAGCCACTGATTTCTATACATTGACGTTGTATCCTGCCACATTACTGAATTGTTGTATGAGTTCTAGTAGTTTGGGGGTGGAGTCTTTTGGGTTTTCCATATATTGTATCCTGCCACATTACTGAATTGCTGTATGAGTTCTAGTAGATTGGGGGTGGAGTCTTTTGGGTTTTCCATATAAAGTATCTGCAAAGAGAGAGAGTTTGCCTTCTTCATTGCCAATCTGAATACATTTTATTTCTCTTTGTTGTCTGATTGCTGTTGCTAGGACTTCTAAAACTATGTTGAATAAGAGTGGTGAGAGTAGGCATCCTTGTCATGTTCCTGATCTCAATGGAAAGGCTGCGAGCTTTTTCCCATTGAGGATGATATTTGCTGTGGATTTTTCATAGATAGATTTTATGATGTTGAGGAACGTTCCCTCTATCCCTATATTTTGAAGTGTTTTAATCAAGAATGGATGCTACATTTTGTCCAATGTTTTTTCTGCATCAATTGAGAGGACCATGTGGTTATTCTCTCTTTTCTTAATGATTTGTTCTATCATATTGATTGATTTGCGAATGTTGAACCATCCTTGTAACCCAGGGATGAATCCCACCTGGTCATGAAAGATTATCTTTTTAATGTGCAGTTGGGTCCTGTTTGCTAGGATCTTTTTGAGAATCTTAGCACCCATATTCTTCAGGGGTATTGGTCTGAAATTCTCCTTTTTGGTGGGGTCCTTGCCTGGTTTGGGGATCAGGGTAATGCTGGCTTCATAAAAAGAGTATGGAAGCTTTCTTCTGCTTCATTTTTTTTGAAAGATCTTCAGGAGAATAGATGTTATTTCTTCTTTGTAAGTTTGATAGAATTCCCCAGGGAATTAGTCAGGTCCTGGGCTCTTGTTTTTTGGGAAGTTTTTGATCACTGCTTCAATCTCGTTACTAGATATCAGTCTATCCAGGTAGTTTTCCAGGAATGCATCCCTTTCATCTAGGTTGCTTAATATTGGCATATAACTGTTGATAATAATTCCTGATGATATTTTATATTTCTTTGGTGTTAGTTGTGATTGCTCTCTTTTCATTCATAATTTTTTTTAATTTGGGCCTTCTCTGTTTTCTTTTGGATTAGTGTGGCCAATGGTTTATCAATCTTATTGATTCCTTAAAGAAACCAGCTTCTAGTTTCATTGATGTGTTCTACTATATCTCTTGTTTCTATCTCATTTATCTCTCCTCTAATCTTGATTATTTCTTTTCCTGTGTGTGGAGTTGGCTTAATTTTTTGTTGATTCTCCAATTCTTTAAGGTATAGAGACAGCTGATGTATTCTGGATTTTTCAATTTTTTTGAGGGAGGCTTGAATGGTTATGTATTTCCCCCATAGGAGTGCCTTTGTTGTATCCCATAGGTTTGGGATGGAAGTGTTTTCATTCCCATTGGTTTCCATGAATTGTTTCAGTTCTTCTTTGATCTCCTGGTTGATCCAGCATTCTTAAGCAAGGTAGTCTTTAGCTTCCAGGTGTTTGAATTCCTTCCAAACTTTAACTTGTGGTTGAGCTCCAGTTTCGAAGCATTGTGATCTGAGAATATGCAGGGAATAATCTCAGTCTTTTGGTATCAGTTGAGCCCTGATTTGTGACCAGTATGTGATCTCTTCTGCAGAAGGTTTCATGTACACGCAAGAATGAGTATTCTGCTGTTTTATGGTGAAATGTTCTGTATATATCTATGAGGTCCATCTGGTCCAATGTGTCATTCAATGCTCTTGTTTCTTTACTGATTTTTTGCTTTGATGATCTATTACTGTGAGTGCTGTGTTAAGATCTCCTACTATTAATGTATTCATAGCAATATGACTCTTTATCTTGATTTAATGTAATTGGCTGCTCCCACATTGAGGGCATACATATTTACACTTGTTATATCTTCTTGATGGATTGTCCCTTTAAGAATTAAGAAGTGCTCTTCTGTTACTCTGACTACAGTCTTTAGTTTAGTCTTTAGGATCCCCTTTGATCCTCTATTTTGTTATTTAAATTCCACATATGAGTGAAATCACATGACAATTCTCTTTCTCTGATTGACTTATTTCACTTAGCCTAATACCCTCCGGTTCCATCCATGTCCTTGGAAATGGTAAGATTTCATTCTTTTTGATGGCAGAGTGATATTCCATTATATATATATGTACACATACACATACATACACACACACACACACACACCACATCATCTTTACCCATTCATCTGTTGATAGACATCTGGGCTCTTTCCATAGTTGGGCTATTGTAGACATTCCTGCTATAAACATTGGGGCACATGTGTCCCTTTGGATCACTGTCTTTGTATTCTTTGGGTAAATAATTAGTGGT